GGCAGGAGAGGCTGTAATCCCGATAAAATCAATCTGACTGCAAAAATGCAATAGATGCGGTATGTAAGTGCAGAATGCAAAATGAGTCGAAACATAAGCCAAATACAATAATTGGTTGGTCAAATTTTGGGGTGCAACAGCTACCCCTATTCAAACGGCTTGGACCTGAAGGGTTGAGAAGCGAACGGCTTTCAATCATTCAAAGGTAGAAGACGGTTGAATACAAAAGAAACCCAGAATTTGCCAACCTGCAGAAATAAACTGCACAAACTGCTTGGGGAAAATATCCAGAACACCGAATCTAGTTGTCACGGCAACAAACTGATCAATCATCTGACAAAGAAACTGACTTTAGCACTAGTTATCTGCGTGTCGCCACAGGTAACAAACCCGAAGGTTGGATCAACATGCACTTGATCCTCTCACACCGTCTAATGATAGACAGGAAGAAAAACAATCTTGATCTCGTATCGTCTAATGATAGACGAGAGGAAAATTCTATTCAAATCTCGCATCGTCTAATGATAGACGAGAGGAAAGTCATATTCAAATCTTGCATCGTCTAATGCTAGATGAGAGGAAAATCAATCCAAATCTCGCATCGTCTAATGATAGACGAGAGGAAAACCTTGTCCGAAGAGCCACATCGTCAGTGAGAACTAGCGGAAGGAAAACCATATAAACTTCAACACTACCCATCAAATTTCAGAATCCTTTCATCTACAGGAATTGATGGAAAGAAAAATATCCTCAAAGGGGCCACATCATCAATAAGGATTGACAGGAAGAAAACTACCTTCAAAGAGCCATGTCGTCAATAAGAATCGACAACTAGGAAAACCAAACATTCTTCAAAGAGCCTCGACGTCAATAAGGATCAACAGTCAGGAAACGCTTCTTGAAATGTCATCTCATCCGATAAACAGAAAGAAAGCCAATATCTGAAAGATCACCTTGAAACCTCTCAACGTCTCAAGATAGACGAAGATAAACCATACTCGAACTCACGACGTCTACAGATAGATGGAGAAAAATCATAATCGAACTCACAACGCCTAAAGATAGACGGAGAAATCCATACTCGAACTCATAACGTCTAAAGATAGACGGAGAAAAATCATAATCGAACTCACAACGCCTAAAGATAGACGGAGAAATCCATACTCGAACTCATGACGTCTAAAGATAGACGGAGAAAATTCCTGCTGGGGGAAATACATCGTCAATAGGAATTGACGGGAAGAACAATATGTCTTTATCAGATGATCGATAGACAAAGCATAACCGTCATATGATCTGAGAATCAAATACCAAAGAGTTGTCTGATCAAAGCTGCTGAATAAATGCCCCTGAACTGATTACAGAGTACTTCATGTTGCCACGTAAGGCTGATAGAAACTGGCTTATGCTTCGCATGCATATGTGTATGTTTGAATTTTTCTATGGCGTAAATGCTCCATATAAGATGGAATGCTACGCATTTGACGATGAAATGCAAATATGATGCAAATATGATGATATATGCAAGATGTAAATGCAGGCTCAGGCTGCTGGAGAAAAGCTGTACACAGAAGAACCATTCCAGCAAAATAAATGCTGGAAAGGTGAAGCCAACTCCGCTGCTGGAGAAACTGGATACGAAACCACTTCAGCAAAATAAATGTTGAAGACAAAGCCAACTCCGCTAGGGATAACCAGATATCACAGAATTATTCCAGTAAAATAAATGTTGGAGAGGCGACCCGACTCCGCTGGGGGTAACCAAATGTGCTAAGCATGATCGGACTTCCCTGGGAATAACTTACACGTGCCAATGACCATTGGACTTTTGCTGGGGAAAACAGACGGAGTCTTCCTACATACCAATGAAGCTTGGATTTTGAAACTGATGCGCCAACACGGATGGGCCTCACAGTGATTGCCAATATGGATTGGGCTTTAGGAATGGCTCGCCAATGAGAATTGGGCTTCCTGAAAATTTCCAATAAGGATTGGGCTCTTGGGCTATCCATGATGGGTCAGGTACGACTGACGCTGGAAAACATCCTGTTTGAATTCACAGTTTCTGATTGAAGGGTCAAGGACGGTAACACGACTTCCCGACATTCGTCTCACACTTGAAGATCGGCTGAACCTGCTCGAGTAGCTCTGATTAGCTCTGATGACACGGAAAGGAACGCTTCCTTCGCTTCTAATATTCCTCAGCCTGTGGGATCTCTATGGGGATATTCCTCGAATGGAAATCTAAAAATCTGTACCCTGATGGTCGGACACAAACTGCCCTAGCACTATGTACTTCGGAGAGATGCTTAGAATCAAATGCCCCTCGGACGAGAAACAACTTCAGCGCTTTTCTTAGAGTGGCCTGCCCCTGTCTGCGATGACTCTGCCCCTGATAGGCTGATATGCAGGGAGATACACTGGTTGTCCTAGAGAGATTCATCAAATCTTGACCCGACTGCTTCAGAATAACCGACTTCAGATGGCTGACATCACTAGGGATTATAGCTTGCCCCGGTTCACGGAGTATTCGGGCGTTCTGCATTCTATCATGATCAGACTTTCCACTGTAGGAAACTTTCCTGCTGTCAAGCACTCACCCGCAAGTAAAACCAATTGTTCTTCATAAAAGATATATTAATGCAATGCATATGACAGTTTTAACATCCAATCTGTTCACTGGAAAAGGAAAACAGTTTATGGCATATAATGAACAAATCATAAATTAGAATATCAACATCAATACCAACATGGTAAGAAGAACCCTTTTAGGAGTCAGCTTAGACGCGATCTTTACCGATGTATGCCTTTGAAACAAACCTGCTTCAATTAGGACTTTTGAAGGTTGTAACGTGGTCAGGTTCATGGTTTTGAAAGAAAGGATAAAGGCTCAAAATTTATTTTCACCCACCCGTTCACCTTGATGTTCTCCAATCCTATGTTTAGCTAATTCAACCTTAGCGCTCACTTCTCAGAAGTTGAAAGATAGGAGTGATAGTTCGAGAAACCATGAATTTTTGGAGTGACAGCCACTCACTTTTCGTTTTTGACACTTGGGGTCACACGACTCGTATTTTGTTCGAGGATTTTTCTTTTGTGATCCTTTTCGTTTTTTCTTTCTAGTTTTTCGCTTTCCCTAATTTTTGCCTGGACTGGCTCCTTTGAGCTTCTTTTGATTATTAAGTCTAGCGGGATGCCCTCTCTTTTGCCTAAGTCATTTGCTTTCAAGTTTTGACTTAGCGTGCTTTTCTTTTTACTTTCTCTTTTTTTTTCTTCGAACAAGTCGTGTGACACTGGCTGTCTGACTCATTGGGGAATAATGTGACTGTTTCACTCCTGATGCTTAACCACTGCGGTTTCTTAGGCACGACCTCTAGAGGTGTGATTGATCCTCAAACGGACACTCCCTTCTGCAATTTGGACGCTCGGTCAAATTAGCTAACACCTACCCTGCCCCGGGTTAAGATTGAGGGTTTTTTCGTTTTCCGAAAGAAACTCCTACTACTATGCTCAAAGGGGTTAACAAGGGATTATCTTCCTTATAACTCCGGTGTTTAGGATTTGAAACAATGCCTGTACATCATCAGCAGGTTTTATTTTTCAAAAGCATACTTTATCAGAAACTCGTGCGTCTTTAAACTTCGTCATCCTCCCCAAATTCCGCTTAACCAAGCGTTGGATATCTGTGAAAACAATGAGTGAACACGAATGGACTGAATCAAAACATGCATACTCATTTCATTATCAATACCAATTGAAAACAATACAAGTTTTACGAATGCAATTTGCGCTTTAACAGAAAAGAAACTACAAATGCGAAGAAATGACATGATAAAACACAGATTGCCAGTTGCTGGGAACCGGGCTTCTCGATCTCTATTTGCTGCTGAGCCAGCCCTCTTCAGAATTACTCGTCGAAGTCATCCTGATACTCTTCCGAACATCTGCTATCAGTGAACTCTCCCATAACCTGAACTGATTCACCCACTTGGTTGGATAAAGGAAGGTCGACACCATGAGTAGGGGTGGCAATAAAATCCATTTAGATATTATCCATCCAATCCATCCAATCCATCCATAAGACAAAAAATAATTTAATGGATTTGATCCAATCCATCCATTAACTCATATGGATGGATTCAATCCATCCATCTCATTTTATAAATCCATTGGATCTTATATTATTAGTTAATGGATCTTATAAATCCATTGGATTTTATAAATTTCAATGAGATAGATTTTAATTAAATAAACTATTTTTATAAAAAAATATTAAACATTTCAATTAAATATTCTTTTTTATTTTAAACCCAAAAAAATAAAAACATTTAATTTCTTCTTCATCTTCTCAAACTTTAAGTAGAAACCTCTTCTTCAAATTACTCTATAAAATTTCTTCCCCAAATTATAAACTAAGAACCCTAATTTCTTCCCCAATTTTTTTCTTCTTCAAATTTCTGTCTACACCAAGAACCCTAATTTCGTCCCCAAATTTCTTCTCCAAATTTCTTCTTCTCTCAATTTCGTTTTAATATCAAGCACTAGTAATTCATCTCAATGTTTCGGTGCTTCAATCGCCATTCATCTCAACAATTGGGTGCTACAATTGATCTCTCTTTGAAGCAAGCAAGGTAAACAATATCATTCATTCCTTTCTCAAAAAATCAACTTGTTTTCATAAATATAATTTGCAAATGATGTTTCGGTTCTGTTGCAAAAATGGGTTTCCAAGTCTTAAACAATATGAAACTTTTTGGTGTACCGAAACAATTTTTAAATATCAGTTGTGGTAATGGCTGTGGTCACAAGCAATTCATGATATTATGGAGATTCACAATCAAATGTGGATGATACAGCCTTAATCGTAGTTGCGGAGAAGTATGCAAATACTATTATATTTTCTGGAAAGTATCACATAAATGTTTTATCATGCTGGATTGTAGTGAGTGGAAGAAGGTTTAAGAACTGTTAAGGTGTGAGATTGCAAGCCATTGATTAACATGTGTTCAATAAGAGAATTATTACATGGAGCTTTATGTGAAGCCTTAAGGCTTTATCCGCCGGTTCCTTTGGAGCACAAATCTCCATTGAAATCTGATGTGCTTCCTAGTGGACTTAAGGTTAAGGAAAATACAATGATAATGTATTCTTTATATTCAGTTGGAAGGGTGGAAGAAATATGGGGAGAAGAGTGTTTGGAATTTAAGCCAGAGAGGTGGATTTCTAACAAAGGAGGGATAGTTCATGTACCTTCTTACGAGTTCATTGCTTTCAATGCCGGACCAAGGAGTTGTTTGGGTAAGAGTATAAGTTTCATTGAGATGAAAATGGTTGCTGTAGCAATATTGTTGAATTATCATGTTCAAGTGGTGGAAGATCATCCTATTATCCCAAGTGTTTCTGTTGTTTTACATATGAAACATGGATTGAAAGTTAATATTAAGAAAAGATCCATTTGAGGATTATAAGGGATGCCTTTTGAGAATAACTGAACTTCATCGATCTTTGTACACTTCTGAATAGTGAGTTCAGGACAAAATATATTTGGTTTAAATATTTAAGTTGGTTTGATACTGTCAAGACATTCTTTACATGCGTTGGATGAGCAAGAACAATTTGTAAGAACCTAAAGTATTTGACATGAAAAAGCTATATAGACAGTATTTTGGTATTCAATTATATTTAGTAGATATACTATATATGCCTATACTACATTGCTTAAATTTTGCCACCCCACTGTTGCTGCAATCAAAATTATTAGTTTAAAGCTGATTTCTTGGACACTTCTCTTTCAACTGCAAAATTGTTCTATTTATCCGAATCTAGTGTAAAGATATTTCAAAACTGTTTTCTATCAGGTTTGGCCACCCAGTAGCTTTGGACTGCTAGATAATTGAAGAAATTTTAAAGAAGGTACGAACCTTGTTATTACTGCACTTGACACTTCTGTTTTTTTCCCTTTGTTTAGAACACTTTTTTCAGTCTCAGAAATGGACATTATAAATTACAGTATAGAAAATGGAAATGTTCATATTATTTTCTGCTTAAGTTTTAGAGTTACAGTTATCAGGTTTTAGAGTGGGAAAACTGTGTAAAATTGATATGTTACCTAAGCTTCTCATGACTCAACTTTCTTTCTTTTTTGACTTATTCTGATGATTCACAAGACCATTGTATTATTCTCAATGAGAATTCTTTAACTTGATGTACCAGAATAAAGACAAGTTTTAATGTAACTTTGATGTTAAACTGTTTATCCAACACATGTTTGATGTGAGTGATTTCAAACAAGTTATTTTGTGCAAGAAATAAATCATCGGCATAAACAAGTATAACAGTAAAATAGGAACTGTGTTTTTTGGTGAATAAAGAATAGTCAGGTTTAGACTAAGTATAACCTAGGACAAGCAAGGGTGATGTTAACGTATGGTTCCATTGTCTACTAGCCTGCTTTAGACCATAGATGGATTTGTTTAATTTACATACAAGGTTTATGTCATAAAAATTTAGTCCAAGTGGACATTTCATATATACTTTTTCATTTAAATTGTCGTATAAAAAAGCAGTATTAATATCAAGTTGATGTATACAACAGTTTTGAGACAAAGCAATAGAGAGAAAAAGTGTAATGGTAGTCATTTTCATAACATGAAAAAATATTTCATTATAGTATAAGCCTTCGGTATGGTTAAAACCCTTAGCAACAAGGTGAGTGTTATATTGTTCTATGGTGTCATTGGCTAAGAATTTTAGTTTAAACTTCATTTACAGCCTATATCTTTCTTATTAATGGAAAGGGTAGGTAAATCCCAATTGTTGGTATTAGTGAGAAGCTTAGGCTCATAGATATTTAATGTAATAGAGTAATAGAGTAATTATTTGGTTCATAGATATTAGATAAATTTAATGTAAAAAGTTTAAGATCATGGGATAAGTTATTGTAAGAAATGTAATTGGATAAGGGGTAATGAATATTACTTGTGTGGGTAGGGAAAGAAAGAGTACCTCCTTGATATATGCAGGAGGATTGGAAATTCTAATGGATTTTCTTAATGTGTGGGCCATGGATTTTCTTAAGTTTGAGAGTAAATTAGTTGATTCATCCCAGACAATGTTAAATTTATGGCAATTCCAAGAACCTTAGCACTCATAACCGATAGTGAACCTACAAGGGAACAAACACCAACATAAACCATTATGTGTGTCTGGCCATATAGAGGAATAAAGTAGAAGATAAGAATAAAAGTAGTTGTTATAACCAATGCTGCATAAAAGAGAAAGGCTGGATCCATAGCAAGACCCCACGCTTCTGGCACTGATTCAATTACCCTTTCTTGAGGAGCATGTAGAAAAATTGTTGTAGACCCCACAACATACAAATCGCAACCAAGAACTCCAAATATATGTAGGTTCTCCCGTAAGATAATACTAAGAGCACTAAGAAGAGTGACTAATATATGCTGCAAAATTAACAATCTCTCCAACAATCATTGTTATCATGCCCACCCACCAAAGTGGTTCATACAGGTATGGTGAGTTGTATTCATGGCTGCTATCAGAGTTTGTGGAGAGGTTGAACCATCTAGATTCCCATCAGACCCTGTTAAATCCCATGTTTTAGCTGTTGCTTTGATATAGGACAATTTTGTGTCTCTGTCAAACAAACCACCCTCCCATCACCAAGCTTCACCACACCCGTGTTAGCATTGTCGGTAAGCGAAGAACCAGAAAAAAGATTTGCTAGCTCCCCTACATAGGCTAAGAAACTTTCAGCCTTAGGCACTTCAGAAAATTCACGATAACATATCTTCTGATTTTTCTTTGCTGCTTGATAAGCTTGAGACTCGATCTGCCGGAAGACTTAATGTTTCATATTTTTACTTTGGTTCCTCCTCACTATCTATTTAACTCTGCAAGGTATGTTTGCAAACATTGGGCTGCTGCTATTGCTGAAGATGTGATGCTTAGAAATGGGATTATGCTTTCTGATCTTCAATTTTCTCTACCATTTTTTCTTTGTATTCCATCCCTTTTGTTGTGCTTAATTAAGTGTAGTACATAAAGAGCTTTAACCTATTTGCGGGGTGTTATTTTTGAGTTCAAGCTCTGTTCTGGAAACTTTACAAGTATCATCTTGGAATGAGGATTAGATCATGTTAGATAGATTTTCCAATGGTATAAAATTTGTGATATTTTGTACTGTATTTTGATTCCACTGCAATCTTTTTTTTTTATCTTCTTTTTGATGAATTATCAAAGTTTGACCATATATAAAACTTCCATGTTAAAAGAGACTTGGTTGAAAAGAAACAGAAAGTTATCTTCTATATGAATTTAGAAAGCACATATATATTGCGGTCCACACAAATGTTGGACACTGTCCAGCTTAATTTAATGACTTTTCTTTGGCATATGTTTGGCTACTTGAGCTAAGCCAAAAGAGTCATTGAGTTGCTAATATGTCCTAGTCCGGTTGAGACATCGCCTTGATGATGAAGTTGAAATTAAGTGCTTGTACAATAATGGAATCATAGGGATTCAACAACATCAATAAAAAAAGATGTATCTAAAAATATCATAATTTGATTTCTGATATTAATGTGCAGTATTAGTAAAAAAGAAAATGCAGTGAGCTCATAACATTGTTTAGCGAGTAAATAATTTGATTTCTGATATTAATGTGCAGTATTAGTTACTTGACACAATTTCTCTCTTTTTGACATGTAATGTCATTAATCTATATGAAATAAAGCTAGTTGATGCATAATAAATTATTGAAGTGTTTTTATGGTTTCAAGTCTTAATGTTATTAGTGGCTTTTAATTGGATAATTCAGTTTGTATTTCCTTTGTACTCACCTTCAATTATTGTCAAATTATAGGAAATATGTCTACCGATGGCGATGAACCCGTAATTCAAATTCAGGATGAAGTTGATGAAAGTTCAGTCCTTAGTTTAAAAAGAACAAAAACTTCTACGGCTTGGGAATTTTTTGAAAAGTTTGTGGACGATAAAGGACTCCCAAAGGCCAAATGCAAAAGTTGTAATAAAATTTATATGGCTAGGGAGGGTGGTGGCACTTCAAATTTGATAAAACATGCAGTGAAATGTGTTGGAAGAGGGAATGGATCTTCTTATCCGCCACTGGATCAAGAAAAGTATAGGGAAAAGATTTCTAAGGTAATTGTCAAACACAATTATCCTTTTACTTTTGTTGAACATGAAGGGATAATTGACTTACTTTGTTTCTTACACCCCGATGTTAAGTCAATTACTAGAAATACTGCAAAGTCTGATGTTCTGAAGGTGTTTAGAAAAGAAAAGGAAAACTTAAAATCCTATTTGCAGTCGATTCCAGGAAAAATTTGTTTAACATCCGATCTATGGTCTGCAATAAATACAGATCAATATATGGTTTTGACTGCACATTTTGTTAATAGGAATTGGGAATTAGAGAAAAAAGTTGTATCCTTCACTCATTGTCCACCACCTCATACCGGTTTTAATTTGGCTGAGAAGTTAATAAATTTGCTAAAGGAGTGGGGTATTGAGAAAAAAATATTCACGATTACTTTAGACAACGCATCTAACAATGATGTTATGGTGAATATATTGAAGAAACATTTATTATCAGGATTAGGATTGATAGCTGACGGTACTTATTTTCATGTTAGATGTGGAGCACACATCTTAAACTTAATTGTTCATGATGGTTTAAAGGTGATAGATGGATCTTTGGATAAAATTAGGTTGTGTGTGAAATATGTAAGAGGCTCAGAAGCTCGAAAGATAAAATTTGCATCTTGTTTAGAGCAACTTTCAAATGTGACTTCTAAGAAAGTTCGTCAAGACTTACCTACTAGATGGAATTCCACTTATCTGATGCTTGAGACTGCTATAGGTCAACGAGAAGCCTTTACCCTCCTAAGCGATATTGATCCCTATTTTGATTGTTGCTTATCAAACGAGGAATGGGATGAGGTAAAAATCATAGCTGATTTTTTGAAGCCATTTTATGATATCACTGTGTTATTTTCAGGTAGCACTTATCCAACCGCCAACCTCTATTTTAGTGGTGTGTGGCGAATTCATATGAAAATCAAGGAAGTTGCATGTGTTGATCATAGTGAGTTTGAGAAACAAAATCAATTATGTTGCATGGCTAGAAGAATGAAGAAAAAATTTAATAAATATTGGAATTCTTATAGTGTTGTGCTATCATTTGCTGTCATCTTAGATCCTAGATATAAGTTGCAGTTTGTTGAGTGGTGTTATGTGAGGTTGTTAGGTGGTGAGGGAGTACAAGTTGCAAAGGTGATTTTTGATAAGTTGAAAGCTTTTTTTCAAGAATATCTCAAGTCCTCAAATGAAGAAAGCACTTCATCTTCATAAAGGTCAATTAGAGGTAGTCCGAACATTCCCTCAAATGACTTGCAGGATTTTGGGAGTTACGAAAGTA